TAAATTTACAACTATTTAACATAATTTTAAATTTATCCGACGTTTCGCGTGCTCACCAGCGTGCGTGGTCAATTTATAATATTACATAACTTCAATCCGGTCAAAATAGTGTTTTATTAAATGAATAAAAGTTATGTTAATCAAAGACAATACCAGATCCATTAAACTTCCTCACAATCGAGTAGCCTGCAATATCGCACACAAGTCACGAGATCTCTGAGTAATGAAGAAGTCGCATAGGTCAGCCAATCATTCGCGTACATGATTACCTATATGAATAAAATTATTTTGAGTTTGAGTTTGAAAGGTTTTTATAACAAAAATATAATGTATGTACTCGTATGAGTGTGAACACAGTTTCCGCACTTAGACGATCACATGTTCCGTTGTGCGTATAGTCCTGGCTAACTAAGCATCCTTCAAGCTCAAAAGTTCCCTGAGCGTCCTCACTGCTCCGAGGATTTCTGTTCGTTGGGAAGCCACATAATGAAAATATAACTTCACATTTGTACATAGTTTTATAACTTATGTCTAATAAGTAACAACTAAAACCATTGTATAACAGATAGCTATCTGTGTTTTACGATTGGGCGTATGCCATTTTACGGACTAGCTTTCACTCTATGTTAGTACAATGTCATTTACGACCTCCACAAAGATACGAAGTAACCTCAAAAAAATCTAAAACGTCATGATTTCAATAATCATTGGTGTGACATAGTGTAAGTTATCTAATAGTTCAATGTATATTTTGTAGCGATAATCCGCTACAATAAAGGAAAACAGAGCTATAACCTCAGAATTCTGTATCTGTTTCTTGATCATTTTTTCTTAATTGGCTAGTAGATGATCAGCCTTCATGCATGAGCTCAGAGTTGCACGCACGCGACAGCCACTTTGCCATCACAACTTTTTTACTCCACTACAATTCAAATAACGAGGGAAGTAGGTAAAAGACTTGGGAGGTAAAGAGAATAATAACTGAGAATATAATATTGGATATTATAGATGTACGGGGGAATATAAATTATATGTCAGAGCAATGGCTCTCGTGTCAGTTGCCATTGTCATTATAATTTAATAACGTCAAAGTCAAATTAGTTAAAAATCATTAAGTGGTTTATTTGATTTGTCAATGTTGCTAGGTCTACAAATTAACATTCTATTTGATAGTCTGTAAAAAAACCTTTCGGTGAAATAAAATATTAGGAAAAAACACCAACTACTATAAGTCGAATTTTTAATTAGACGATATCAAGACGTTAGGGTTTTTAATGAAATAAAAATAGTGTTGTGTTGTACAGATTGTAAGATTGAAAAACTCCTGAATTAATAAAATTGCCTCGATTGCTAGTGAATAGTTAAGTTGCTACTGCCGATATGAGGGTTCGAATTTTAGTCGTGCTTTGAACATACCAAGAGTTTAGTACTAAATACCAATTGTTTTTAACATTAAGGAAATCATTGGAGGAAACTTGTAAGACTGTCCTATTCTCAATATATCATGATTTATACTATAGATGTTTAATAATATAACAATTATAGGTTGGTAATGAAAATAATAAACATGCTTATTACATAATTTGTTTTTATTCATCATCAGATAAAAAATCATATATCTTTGGTGACATTAATAATAAATCTTCTGAAACATTGTCGATCATGTGTGAGACCATACATTTTATCTTCTTCTTTATTATGTGAACACGAGTACGCCATTATGGGAAGTTTAATCCTTCTTCAAAAGTTTTTTACTTCTGTATTGAGGTTAATTTTTGAAATATCCTTTAGCCTGGCCCATACCAACTCAAGGGATAAGTAAGTGGTATGGGGGCAGACGTAAACAATTATTATGTGGCTGTATCTCGTCACAACATACTTTTGAAATGATTGTTTGTGCTGCGTACAAGTCAAGAGTAGCTTAACCATTGTTGCTTCGAAGAAATATTTTGTGTAGCACTCTTGTATTTTAGGTTTATCAGAATTAGGCAGGATTAGTTTTGGAGGAGGCATATGACTAAAGGAATTTGGTTTTAGTTGGAAGACCACTAAACCACTTCTCAAAGGAATCGGCATATTTTGATGATAGTTTTTTACTTTTTTGGCTTCAAATATTAGAAGCTACTCTCTTCCCACCTATGTGGCCGATAATTAAGTTGCCTTTCCTGAAGCTGTTTAAGAGTAGTCAGGCATTAGGAAGGCTGGGAGTCGAAAACTGTTGGTCAATCCATGCCTTTGGGATACCTACAAGATAATGAAAAATAAAATTAGTTAATGAAAGTAAATTAATGTAAAAAAACAGAAAATTGTAATTACCTTCGTTGATAGGTCATTGGTAAAAATATACCTTCCTTCCCTGATACTTTTAATTTTGGAAGGTATGTGGGCCATAACAAATTTGTCTAATAAATTTTTTGAGGACAATTTGAAATTTAAATGTTTATAACATTTCTTAATGTATAAAAATTGGGTAAGTTGGTCTATTGACAACCTTAAGAATCTGTGAAGTAATAAAAAACGTTTTTGAGTAAGGAAGTCTACGAACAATGTTTTAAAAGATCATATTGGAAAAATATAATGAGTGAGGAAAATTTGTTACCTTTAAAGGGGACTATTTGATAAAAAAATTATGAACTTTTCGCTTATAGCGGAAAGTAAAATTCTAATTTATTTGAAATGGAAACTTAAATTGTTCATTTTTTGTATCTTTAAACACTGTAACGAGAGTAATTCCCAAAATGTATGTTTTCGAAAAATCTTTTTTTGGGAGCCTCAATAGGTAATAGTAAAGAGCTTTCTCCTCAAATACGTAGACGTTTTGATATAACTTTTTCGGTAACGCTTAAAGCAATCCGGCTCTTTTTGGAGAAAGTTGGGGTTGAGGATCCATATCGTTTTTACGAAACAATATAGAAATAAAAAAACACAACAATAACCACAAACAAACGTAATGAAAAACTTAACAAAACTATAACTAAACAGGTGAGCGAGAAAAAACATTGTGCTATCAGACAGGGGCCTTAGTCAAGATGCTTAAAGTAGTGTATGTAAACGTCAAAACTAAATTTGTATGAAAACTTTTCGACACTAACTGTCATTTTCATACAAATTAAGTTTTCGACTTTCTACATACACTACTGTTAAGGCATCTTGACTAAGGCTGAGGTTAGAAGCCGAATGACAAACAAAATGACACGTTGTAGGCGTATACAGCGTCAAAAACTGATTGTAGTTACATACTACTAGTACCTAACTTATATCAGAAATCTTTTATACAATTTTAAAATAGTAATAATATTATTTTATAGTTTGAAATATTAACTATTCACACTCACTCATTGTTCATTCATCTGATTGAACAAGAACTGAATGTATCACTATTATTTAAATGTGGAAATTATTTTATAAGTAATTAGCTACTGTAGATAGTTGTTAATAAAAATTGACTATATATTATGAATTGTAAACTGCATACATGCCAATTAGACCTAAACGGCAGACGTGACCAAAATAAAACCCAGATAAACCAACACAATACTCATTATTTACGGTAACCCAAAGCTTTCTACTCACCTTTGGCACAGTTTCAAAACCTTGTTTTTATATTAAAAATTTGTAAACATGTCAAAGGTTAGAAAAATACATAATCCGACTATTTATCATCCACTGGTACAGATACACGTAACTAATAGTCTTATAATAATGTGTTTTGTAACAAGGAACTACTTTAGCGTGTGTTAATCGCTTTCGAATAACAAATTTGGTTATTTGCATTTATCTATGTTAATCACATGTACCATTATGTTATGAATTACATGAGAAACGATTGCATTTAAATGTCTCGGGAATTAATTAAAATGTATAATTGTATAAAAAAAAATATTGAAAGTGCTACTGAAGTCGTTAAACTTTTTTATAAGTGGGACGAAATGAACCGACTCCGGCGGCATTTAAACCCGTGTGCGATTTTGGAGCCTAAAAATCATGGCATTTTATGAAATAAAATAAAAAGCTTTTCTTTATTCGCTTATATGTTTGTACACACACACACAGTCAGATTATACAATATTAATATTAGACTTATTTGGATTTCTATTTTTTTTCTGCGGTTATTTGCAATCAGCCCAGGCTATGAGCGACTACTAGTGACTTCCCATTGGAAGCATCTATTCATCTTCTGTCTAGAGCTACTGCCGGTCTTCTAGCTCTAGAATATGGTGACGTTTTAGTCGACTCACATACTGTCTAATTATTGATGTCTAAGGATTTCTATATAAGACTTATTCAAATAAAAACTATTATATCGTGCTTGTTTGTCATTTTGGAGTCAGTAATTTTTTTAATAATATATGTTTGTAATATAATAATGTCATTATATATATATATATACATATTACATATATATTACAATGTTATGCAGTATATATACATGTATACTTACTTAATTTTTGTTTCCCAGGAATTGTAACTACGTAATTTTCCATTAGAATATTTGTTAAATATCTGTCACTCATTTTTTATGCGATAAGGAAATTATTATTACACTGAGGTGTCATTATAAACATAACTATTAAATACAATTACCGTCGTTACAAACGGAAACTACATACTATGTAATTATTAGCATAGACAACGATTTCTTGTGTTTTTTACATCTTTCGTTTAATAAATAAAAGATTGTTAAATATAAGATTTGTTGTTTTCAATTAGTTCTTGTATAACGGAAAAAGCTTGGAAGCATTTATTTATTAAAATTCACCACATCATAATATATAATGCTTTATCTACAGTATACGCTACAAGCTATCTTCTCTAAAATATACAATTACGCTAAACAGAAATGTTACAAAACTTTAAAAAAAACATTCGCAAAATCTTATATATTTAAGATGATGTGGAATAAATAAATAAATAAGAGGTTGCCATTGGTCGTCAGATAGGTTAAGGTTTAATTTATCCGGGAATTCGAACGGTTTATGTTATGCAGATAAACCGATCGTATGCATTTTAATCGCCATAGCCAAGGTTTCTTACGAAAACAGAAGGAAATGTGCTTCCATTTAATTCCATAATTTATCTCTAAATATACGGATTCAAAATAGACTTAAGTTTAGACTAAACAGTCACAAAAAGTCCGTTCAGGTACAGGACAAACCCATTTCAGTATTTGTATGATAATTTTTGAGTCTCCGAAAAATTTGTTCGTAAACCGATACGCCGTTTACTTATTGACTGATTTGTCCATTTATTATTGACTGAAGTAAACTTGATATAAATATAGATCAGAACAGGTATATAAAATATATACTTATTCTTACTTCGTTAGTAAAAAAATGTCAATTGTCAAAAACGAAGAGAAAATGTTATATTTTTATATGCGACTCAATTAACATAAATCACACATCAAACATGTTATTACCACATAAAATAAACGTAGTTTTATTTCCTTGTACAAGTGTACCAACAAAAAATAAACTTGTGCACAAACAAGATGTTGAACACGGAAATAATTTCTAAGCCTCGCTTTTCCCGGTTACCTCACATACATTAGTTATTCGACCAGGAAGAATTGTTGCTACCTACTTAGAAATATGTCTCGTTACATATGACGTCGAGACCATAACATATAGTTATTTTGTTACGTTATGTAATTAATAAACAGAAACAAATAGGTACATCTGTAGTCTATACTTTTTTTAATTACTATACTTAAGTTTGATTCAACGCGCAGATAGCAAATACTGATTGGAAATTGTCAAATTCCTTGTCCAGGGTATTCTATGGATGCTATATGTAAATCTATTTATTATACTTAAATCTATTTATTTACTTGATAAAACAGGCTGATAACTATCATGGCTGCACAACAATAACTCTCTTAATATTCACAAAACAAGAAACAAGGAATTCCATTCTGATTTAACGTAGATGTTTTGTGAATTTTTTCACAATTTGTAATACGCCTTATTATCCAATATATAAGAAGTGCCAGCGCCCGCAGGGTGCCTGATGGTTACTTTAAGAGGCGACATCGACCGCCGCAACTATTCGTAAAAGCGAAACTAACCTCTCGAAATGACACAATGTATAGAAATAATTAATGAACTGCATAGATTCTCAGACATTTTTAATTTTCCGTTGAGTGAACTGGCAAAAGGTCTGGTTCATATAAGTTCCTATACTGTAAGAAATAGTGTTTAGTGTTGTGTTATTTTTGTGTTTATATATGTTTTGGATGTGATATAAATGTAACTAATTACCGCATTGGTGTAATCTGTAATGGTAGCTTATTTTGTTAAATAATTAAAAGTTTGTTTTTAATAATCAAATCAAATTAAATAACACTATTTTACAAACATTTTATTATCAGTACATTATTTGTTATCACGTGTGTTTAATACCACCAAGTGCAATAGTATCGCAATAATGAGGTCTTATACATAATGCATCGGAAATGCAATGCTTCGTCAAATTTCTAATACACATACTTATTTCGACTCGTAAATCTAACTAAAAACAAGTTTCAAGATTTGTATTTCGCCCATTTGTGTAAAAAATAACCTTGAATTAGTTCTTACTTGAGCCTTACTTTCCATTTCACACCACAATACGATCCCACGTAATAAATAGATTGTTAGTTTAAAAGATAATTAGAATATTGAATTACATTTATATCAATTATATAAACAGTATATTTTTTCTTGTTTCAGATAATTCCGGAGACCTTCAAGCTGATTCATCTGATACTATATCAGAGACACTTCTCCCACCATCAAATCTAAGGAGACGATCCAGCAATTTAGCAAGAGAACCTGACCACTCCATTGAAGTTTTTGGTGATTCCCAGAACTTCTTCCCATCATTTGCCAATCTTTTCGAGCCGAGACAGCAAAATAACTATAAATTGGGTTTCGGCAGCCAAGAAGCAGCTTTCAGCCAGCGTCCAAACTCCTACAGATCCTTACTGAACTATCCCCTGTTTGGGGGCTACAGAGCGTTAGAAAACTTCGCCAAGCAAAGTACTCCAGCAGCTGAACCCCTAGTCGAAGCCAGCTCCAGCGTCCTCGGCTCTGGAAACTTTGGCATCATCAGAGGAGGAACGTTCTTCGCCCAAAATGACGAAGACGACTTCAGCGATAGCCTGTCCTACTACAACAATGGCCACGGTAGACCGTCACTGAATCTTGGCTACATAGCAAATCCAAGGCCCAATTACAACCACGACCAGTTCGCTAACTTCAAAGACTTCGCCGATATAAACACACCATCGAATTCAGACTATTCTCATTTCGTTGTAGTGTACGCGAATAAAAACGCTACACTAGACGAGGTGAGTGAAGAAACAAGACAAGTTGTCTCGAAACCTAAGAATATAATTGAAACATTGGAACAACTCGACACGACGGCTCCACCAAAATTATCTAAATCGAAAGCGAAATTGGCAGCGACGAAACAAAAGATGCAATCAAAAAAAGAGCAATGGAAAAAGGCGAAACTTTCGATAAAACACGACCCAGAGGAACCATTATTAGCGTTAAGTTAAATGTAGTTACAAAAAGACTTGTTGCGTAAGTGTTATAATAAGTTAAGGTTGGCAACATTTTATCAAAGACGTGATGAATGCTCACTATCTAAGTTAATGTGTAGATTATAGTGTGTACAGTTGAATGTCGTTAAATTTAAGAGAGTGATTGTGAATATAAATTAAAATTTAAGAACTATTAAACAGACTTTATTTAAAAAACATAACCCTTTAATTCATACAATTTTAAGCGTTTATATTTTGAAACGTTTAAAGGGCTAACGAGACAGTTAGGTCTTTATTAGGATGAACGCACTAGTCTCAAGAACTGTGTTTGGAATATAAAACATATTTATGTATCAGGTAGTACATATAATATAATTAAGTAAGCAAATACAATATATAATTAAAAGTATGCATTAAATATAATTTATTTGCAAGAATATGGTTTAATAATGTTATGGTGGTACAATCGAAAGATCGCATATTCTGCCACACATAATGCAAATTTATCTTAAAAGGGATTTTACATAGAAGTTATACAGGTACATTATGAGTCATATCATTGTAGTAATTCTTATATTATTTGTAGTGATAAAATATCACATTTTTAAAATATATTATTACGTTATCAAATTAAAATTAATTATAATGTTTCACGCAAATAATCATTAATAGAACAATACATCTTTTCCAAAAGTAGTACATTAAGTCGATTTTTAAAAACTTCTTTTTTAGAAAGTTATTTTAATAATTTTGTTAAATTATTATAAACCTTGATTGCACATACAAAATTGAATCCATGTTCCGAATACCTCGTACTCATTCAAAGCTCTTGTCATCTTTATCATTAAAAAATGCTGTTAACGGTATTTACCTAATCATAACTAGATTCTGTTATAAAAAATTAAAAACTTATATCGACCACACATACATAAAAATCTATATTCAAAAGCAGTATTCTATGTTTCGGGTTGGTAGGCACTAAATACCGATAGGCACATAAATTGGGATAGATTAACATGAAACGCCCCATTACAATGGGACTAAAAATTTACAAAATATTCAAAGCTACAAACTACTGTCAACTTTATTAATTACTTTCTTTGGTCATTGTTTTAACGTTAATTAGATTATAATGCCATCTAGTATGAATTTGACACAATTGTATTCCATGTCAAAGATTGTGAGCAAGCTATATATTTAAACAGATTATAAATATATTTCGCTAGATGGCATTATTTTTATTTTAACAGTATAACGTCAGTACAGGGACTTTATACTGAGGCTAAGATTGAATCTTACCCTCAGTATCTAATCTTCAAAAACAAGACTCAGCGTTTAGTCAGACGGGAGTACGTCCAAAATGTATTGGAGTTTGACATTCGGAAGACAGTTCGCGCTGCGTCTCGTTTCAAAATCTCACCATACGACTCGTCAAACAGTCACTGCCTTTTGAACATGCTGTGCTCACATCTGTCATCAGTCATCACTCATTGACAATTCGTGAGCTGTGGAGTGTGATCTTTTGGTAGCTGCCGCAAGTCGTCGCTTGCAAATTTTTCAGTTTTGCGTGTAGGCTACAATGCTAACTTTTTCAGTGACTATCGAAAGGTGATAATGTATAAATAATAAGCTATAAGTATCACATTACATTAAATAGGAATAGTGAATAGAAAATTGTGAATAAACATTTAATGTAACCATGTTCCCTGGCAAAGATGCCGCTAACTCGGCATATCCCACGCAGTGGGCCCTTAATCCTACTGCATATCAAAACATAGATGCGAGCCAAGTAGATTGGGCGGCACTGGCTCAGCAATGGATTGCAATGAAAGACGCTGTAGCAATCGTTGGAGCTCCTCCAGCGAAAATAGAACCCGAAGGTGGCGAAGCACCCATGGAAGTTGAAAACCCAAGTGAAGCTACAGGTCCACCCGGCGCCGAATGGAATGCCAGCACAAATTCTTGGACGGGAAACTCTTGGAACCAGTGGGGTAAGAACTGAGCTACTTAAATACTTTGCAATTAGTATTGCTTGAGCCAGCACTACTACTGGTGCAAATAAATATTACCTTAAAACTTGTAACTATCCCAAAAGAGTTTTACTGCATTAAGCGAGGCAAGGTTTCAATATAACAATTGCTTATTATAAACTGAAACTATTCAATGGCTTATTTTTTTGTAATACCAGGTATTTGATTACATATTCTTATTAAAGTTATGTAAATTTTTATAAAATAGTGCAGCTTTGCAAAGTGGAAAGATAACTTTACTTGGATCTGATGCTATTACAAATATATTATGTATTTTATTATAATTGTTAACTATTCAATATCTTATGTATACTATACCTAGATTGGTCAGGATTTGGTAACTACATCTATATTTCATTATTTGTGTAGGTTGGAATTGGCCTGGCTCTGGTCCAATAGATCCGAAGGTAGCAGTAGATCCTGCAATGGCTATGGGCCCAATCATGGAAGGATATACTGTTCCTGAAAGCGCTGCTCCAATGCCTGGGTAAATAATTTCTAAAATTATTAAAATGTTAAATGTTGATAACAAAAACTTACATTATTATTTGAAAGTAATATCTCAAATACTTTTATATTAGTAAACTGCTCAGGTTGTGTAGACTTGTATACTTAATATATTTGCAATTTGTTACTTATGATTTCCAGATACACAACCGGTACAGTGCCAACACCAACATTTCAACATGGCTACTGGACAGCACCTTCATCAGAACAAGGTGATAGAATTAGAGGTAGAAGCAGCGAACGTCGATCAAAGAGCAAGGGTCATGAAACTAGGCCACCAAGAAGCAGGTCTCATAGGTATTATTTCTTTATATTCCCAAACAATTTATTTAGACATCCACATGGCTGCAATGTTTTCTTTCTAATTGTCAACTAATCACACTTATTAACTATTTAATTATATTAGTTTGTATGCGTTAAAAGCTGACCTTTTTCATTACTTCTTATTCCAGGGATAAGCAAACCCTACCACCAATAATAGAGCCCGTCGCACCACCGGTACCACCTCCCACCACATTGGATGCCGCTAAGAGGAGACAGCTGCCGGGTTGGATTCGAGAAGGTACTTATTTCAACACTTAATCTATTAATAGTTAGAGAATTCCACAATTTTACAATTATATTAAGAAGAGGATTGAATCAATAAATTTGTTTTTATGTTGGTCACACTCGCTTTGTACTTGCAAAATTTTTAATTGACATTTTTATTTACTTGTATTATAAATTATCTGTATACATTAATGTATAAAGGTTATTAAATATCATTATGTTTAATCAAAGCAAATTCTATTTGTTTTTAGTTTCTCTGTTTTTTTGCCTATACTTTGATAGACGAGAAAAGAGATTTAAATGGCCTCACTTATTCTCTTGTTTACTATTTCTCAAATATACAAAACAACAACCCAACAATTTCAAATTCTTTTGTTTATAGATTATTTATCAAATGTAGAAGGTGAAAGGTATCTTTTGTTAACTCTCATTTACACTGAACTCATGTATGATGAGTAATGTGTCTTAAATTTTGGATTTATGTGTTTCATAGTAAAAAAATCTTGTTTTTTTACATAATTTATTAATTGTGTTTTATATTTAAAGTGTTTATAAGTGTGTATTCCGTTTTTGGCTTTTATGTATTGTGTGGATATTATTGTTATAACTGTAGCTGTGGGAATTAAATAAATAAGTTATTACAGTCAAAACCGGTTATAACGACATCGAAGGGACCGTATAGTTGCCGACGTTATATCCGATAGTCGTTATAAGCAATGTCATATATTATATATACACAAGTATAGTTCATATGTATGTACAATACATACAAGTTATATAATCATAGTTATCTATCTAGAATAGGTAGGTATGGGTTATAATATGGTATGTTAATATTATAATATGTAAACGAGTCAAAAAAGAAACAAAAATATTTATTACGAAATAATTAGGTACAAAAGTAATCGGTCTCAAGGTATGAGTATCACAGTATCAAACTGTTCGTTAAAGGCAACAAATTTTTGCAAAATCGTTACAGCGTTAAGAGCCTCGGAAATCGTTGTTGGCTGAAACTGTTCGTTGGGAGAATGTGCGTAGGTAATAATATCTAAATATTCATTCAACGCCTCTAAATAATATTTAAAATCGTTTGTATTGTTTTGTTTTGTGAGAAAGAAGGGTTGGTGTTATATCCGATGAATATGATAAACTTTGTGTTGTAAGGATATGTGCTGTATCCGATGTTGTTATAAGCGGTTTGTTTCTGAATAGTTTATAGGGATTGGACGGGACCATACAATCTGGTTGTAATAACCGATAGGTCGTTGTAAACGATGTGTTATAAGGTTTTGACTGATAATTATAAATAATATTACAAAGTATTAGCGGGCGAATAATCAAATACTGACTTTATTTGTTGCTTCATGGATGATTATGAAGTGTTTTTTTTAATTTCAATGTTTTAGAGTTATGAACAATTTTGGTCAATTTATGCGCGATCTTAAAACTATTTCTGTTTGGGTTTCCATATAGCATATTCTTCTTGTAAGAGTCTCCCGCCCATGGTACCACTTAACATTAAATTTGTTGGGTTAAAAAATCAAAGAAAATATCTAAATTCTCCATTAGGCAATTACTTTACTGTCATTTTCTCTTTTAATTTATTTTAGGTTTAGAAAAGATGGAACGTGAGAAACAGAGGGCGATAGAACGCGAACAAGAAGAAAAGGCCCGAGAGGAAGCGGAGGCCGAGCAGAAGAAATTGGAGCTGGAGGCGCTTCAGAGAATGAAGGCGGAAGGAGCACCCTTGATTCCTGCTAAGAGCAAGTTTGTAAGTATTCCCTGCTGCAACACAATTTTGCCCTGACAGTAAAAAATGGCCCAAATCTCTTGATGACTAAACGAAGGTTTCCTATCGTTTAGAACAACATACCGGTTATATTGACCAAAATCAAAAGTCCCGGCTGAATTATATTGTATTAAGTTCTTAATAACAACGTCATCGGCTGTTATGACTATCGGTTTTTACCCACAAATATGAGTAGTCCCTTCGATGTCGTTATAACAGATTTTGACTGTACTTGCAAAAGAATACTTTTCTAAGAGAAATGTCCTGAATTCCAATTTAGGAAACAGTCCCAACTTCTTTGGTACAGTTTAAGTAGCGTTGGCCTCTCATCCCTGAGGTCCTAGGTTCGATCCCCGGCTATGCACTAATGGACTCTCTGTCAAGTGGGTATTTATTACTCGCTCGTACGTAACAAACATCGCGAGGAAACCAACATGCCTAAAAGAAGACAGTTATATGCCTAGAAAATAGAAATGATGCCCCAAAGGGGTTGTAGCGCCACTTGATTATTAGTTTTTGATGCGTGGATTTTTTTAATGGACCATTTCTCACTTTCTATCTAAGAATTTTTTTAAATCATAATTATTATCCTTGATCCGAAATAAGCTAAATCACAAAAAATAACTTTTATTTATACTTCAGGATTCAGATTCGGAAGCCGAGGAATCCGAAAAAGAAGAACTAATTAAGCCAAAAGAAGAAATAATAGAAATTAAGGAAGAGATTGAACCAGAGATGAAGAGGAGTAAAGAGGAGATTATGCAGGAAGTCGTGAGTATATTAAATTTGTTTAGATTTTATTATGCCTTATATATTTATAAATACAAATACGCGTTATCACAGCCGTGGGCACAATGGCGATCTCTTATCTAACTAGAACAACAGGTCAGTCGGAGGCATAAACCGCAACCGTAAATTAAAGGCCGGCAACACACTTGCGAGCATTTTAAGCCTCCTACCCGTTTGTTTTTATATAAAAATTAAATTAAAAAAAACAAAGGAACAAAAGGTAGGTACTGAAAAACTGATGATAATATATTCAGTACAAAAAAGTACACGTTGAATTGACCATATCAATTTTGTTTAAGTCTGTTAAAGATTCAGAGAACGTACAAAACACTAGTAAAATCTTCTCCCTTAAACCTTCCCATACTACCAGTCTAACCCAGTCAGTACTGGCCCGAACACCTCAGTGACTAAGGCTATGTTCACATGTAACGCGCGATCTAATTTGAAGAGAGTTCAGATGATGAGCGCTAATGCGCGTTGCGAGAGTACTCGTCAGTCTAGTTCGGTAGAACGTTTCGTGACCACCTAGTGACTCTTTAGTTACTATTATGTGGTGTAAGTCGACAAAAATATTAACAATAACGCGTAATTTAATCCCCGCCCCGCATCGTAACGTTTTACAAAAGGGCGAACCTATATTCCAAATTGCTGGCCTTTTTTCTACCGCGCGTCAAATTTTTGCCATCTGAACATAGCCTAAGTAGTTGCCAAAGTAACATCGTTGGCGCGGCTGGGTATGACGTCACCGTACTGAATTGTTGCTAAAATAAACTTTGTTTCTAAAATATCTGTAATTGTAAAACGCCTGATAAGATCTTCATAAGTTGTAGCTAAGTAAGTGATAGTCAAACTTATCACACAACTCTGCAACGGGGCTAAGTCAAAAGTCGAAAATCATTTATTCGTATAGGTAACACAGTGTACACTTATGAACGTCGAAAAAGAAATATACATTAAATGCTTCTAATTTTACATTTACTGCCAGTTCTCAAATCAAAGGCGTAGAACGGAAGAGAAGAACTGGCAATAAACTCTCCGCCACTCTTTTTAATCGATCTAAAAACCTAGATAAAGAAGAAAAAAACAATTCTCACTCAGGCTTTCTTAGTTTTATAAGCGTAGGGATTTCCTAAATCGTCGGAGTTACGCCCCGAGTATAGCCAGACGTAGGCACTCTCTGCAACTGTTACATTGCATTCATTTGTTACATAGCAATTAATATTTCACTATTTCGCTTATATTCTATTGTTGTACGTGAGATTTAACTATAAAATCCTCTATTATTTAAAGCTCCCCGTTGACCCAGGAACTTTACACATGTGTTAATTTTTATTTTTCACCCACACATTTAAAAAGACACTAAATTGGTTATCTCTTGTATAATTGTTATAAAAGAAAAATCTCCCAAAATATCGAATCTTATGACCGTGATAGATCTGAATAGCTGATAAGCGTTTATCTCACTTCTTATCAACGGATTTGATTGGAAGCCCAAACTTCTTCAATAATTATGAAAATAAAACCTATCATTTGATTATTAATGTAATTCTTATTATTTGATTTGATTATACCTACAAAAATTGAAGTGACTTATTTCAATAAAAAATCCTATTATTTTATGTAATTAATTATTTAAATAAACAAAAGACATTATAAGTAATATATTAACTATTGCTTTGTATGTTCACATAAAGTAGATCCGAGTTCAAATTCCAATGTGATAAGGTAATAGATATATTTTAGCCATGAAGCACTTAAAGGGCATGCCCAAATATTTATAAACAGTTTATTTAAAACAACAGGGTTATTATTTCTACAAAAGACCACAAATTACAGTTATACATATTAACAAAAATATTCAGTTATTCAAACAAGCTTCAAATCTTATAAACGATTTTCTGCATTTACTGACTGAAATTGATAGTTTTTTTAAATCTCAATATATCTGGGACCACTTGAGGAACTCTCCAGGGTGGAAGCAGGGACATTTCCGAATATGTTTTTTTTTATTCGGTGTCTGGAAACACACAAAGAAAGAAAAAGCTTTATTACTCATAAGACAATGAATAGTTAAAGGAGAAAGTGCATTAGGATGTCTTCCATTTCACTTAATTATTATTTTAGGTACTTGACTCAATAAACTTATAATTAAGATTGTTAGGTTTTGAATTGATTGTTTGATTTGTCTAAAATATTGTTTTTAACTGGTTAAAGATCCTATTAAATTGTTTTAAAACAAGACAATTCACAAATAAACGTTCTGTGCCCAGATGTTAGCAGTGCGTCGTTCGCTAACTGAAATCCTGCTGGAGGTGACCGACCAGGAGATCCAAACGGTGAGCCAGGAAGAGTTGGCCCGGTATACCTCCGTTCAAGGTATTTCCACTCTTATTGGCTTATACCCGAGGGAGAGATTGCTCTACCCCACGCGTGTGACTGACTCCAATTACATTAGTGCCTTTCTTAAACTAAAGTGTTCAGCGACAATCGTGAATTGTGATAATATTTCAACGCTAATAAAGTCTTATTTCAGATGTTCCCCGTTCAATGAATACATGTATTGTGTGATTAATATTGGTTTTATTTATATGGTAAAAGCGTCGCGCCTCAACACTATGAAAGCGTCTCAATCTAAGGCATTCACCGCTATTTCGTCTGGGCTCGGTGAGTGCTACTCCTAAAGACTGCGATTATCTGGCAAACGCTCTCCTTTGCGAGATACTCGCACTATACATGGTGTTACGAAAGTTCCACGGAGGCGGGAGGGTAACACCATGTATGTGGTTCTATTTCAGCAACGCTGTTTAGGTTTATATTGGCATTTTATTAACGAGTTACGACTCTGGAATTATTGGTAAGAAAATATTTATTATTGGTGTTAGAATTGTAACGTGCTTTTACGCGAAGACATTATTCGGTTTCGCATTTAACTTCGGTCTTGGATTCGTAATTTTTCACTAAATTTATTTTCAGATTGTGATGTTACGTAATAGCTTTTTGAATTGAAAGTTCTCTATTTGAGATTAATTTTAACTTGACAGTTAGCTATTCAGTGACGTCATGATTTAGTTAACAGCTTTTGTAAATTGTCAGTTATCTGATGCGTTATGTTCAGGGCTTGGCGCGTACGAGAGCAGCAGCGACAGCAGCGGAGATGAAGGAGATGTCAAGGACGTCACTGATCATCAATTGCAGGTTAGTAGGACACAAGAAAAAGAAAAGAAAGACAAAATCACAAGAGGAATACTTCCCGTTTCCGCATGTGAAGCTCACTTTAAATATAGCAATAAAAGAGCAGATTAGGGAGCGTTCAAATATTACGTAACGAATTTGGGGGGGGGTCCTTTTGTAAAACATTACGATGCGGGGCGGGGATTGAAATACGCGTTATTGTTAATATTATTTTCGACTTTCCAGTACTTTACACCACGTAATGGCAACTTAAGGTATAGTCACTAGGTCAGGAAACATTTTACTATACTTGATTACTTGGGTACAAAAAACGTTACGGCGCGTTACATGGGGGGGTGTCAATAATCTCCAAAAATTGCGTTACGTAATACTTGAACGCTCCCTTACGTATTTATATTCAATTTAGAATTAAGAAGCTATTTTATGTATATGTGATATAACGGTGGCATAAATGCGTCAGGCACAGCAGGCTGATCACCTACTTGCCTCTTAGATAAACAAATGATCATGAAACAGATACAGAAATCTGAGGCCCAGACCTAAGAGGTTGAAGCGCCATTGATTTATTTATTTTATAAATTGTATACTGCAAATGATTTTCTCCGTTCAGAATAATCAGTATATTCCATACCGTAGAATATTTTACCCCAGAATGTATCATAAATATAATCTGGAAAGTTTCCTAACGATTAAAAATTAATTTTATTTTCATTATTCAAAAATTAAAAAATCTTAATAATAGAAGTATGTACTTACTCTTATCTTCACTACCAATTCTCTAATCGAGGTTGTAAAACGGAAGAATTGGCTAGAAACTCTGTCATTCTTTTTATCACCAAATGTTTTGTATTAAAAGACGCTTATAAAGAGCTGCAACATTCATACCGTGCATGAAGCATATAATAATATGGAATAAAATTCAATAAAAAAACCCTCTATAACGTTATGTTTCTCGAAATTGGACCACATTTTTCACATTATAATGTAAGTGACATTATAGTGAGAAAAACACATATGTTTTTTCTTTTTTTATGGTATATTATTATACTCTTTACTTATCTATCTGTCTCTTTTCATCACAGCGTAAAAACAATTCGACAGAAAGAGATGAAAGATTCCTTTAAAACTGATTTATTTTATAAATAACTTATTTTGAAATAACAGGAGATAATAAGACGCAGGCGGTCGGAGTTCGAGCGGACGTCGCGCGAGATCGAGGCGGAAGTGAGGCGCGCAGAGTTACGGGAAACGGGAGAGGCCACGCCCAGTGACACGCCCGACAAGCACAGGCGAACTCGTAAGTGTCATACGTTTCTAAGTACACAATAATATATAAAAGCAAGACAAAACAATACAATTAACATGGTATCAAGGCTTTACAGGTATTTAGCAATTAATAAGGTGACTCGCTTGCCCCTCTCCCCATAAAAAAAACATACTATCTTCTTGTATTTTTTAATTTTAACACCATAAAATGGAAGAAATTTATTCCCCATTTCGAATCACAATGTAAACCTATCTAAATAGTAGTAAAAGTGCTTGTAGAAAAACTATAACTTTATTAAAAATATATAGAATTCTCATATACATATTGCTGTCCCCGGGAACAAAGTCGTAAATGCAAAATCTTTTTGGAGTTTACTTCTTAAGAAACGATTTGAGTCATAAGGCCCGGTACGAAAATTTTATGAGGAGTAAAATCAAGTGTAACACGAAAAGTTGAGGCGTTATGTAGAAAGAGACAAACATATATATATGTAGGATTGAACGTGTAAAAGAATGAGATGGAATGCATTACACAGACTTTTCTATTTTGAATTCACGTTTTGACAGCCACGTTACAACATTGTCAGTGTTGACAGGTGTAAAAAATAAAAGTAGATTGTCTAGCGTGCCATAGAGTTTTGTCAATAGTAATGGTCAGTGAAATTAAAACTAAAAATATTGTTCATTCTTATTCTTCTCTTACTATAAAGGTAACTTTGGTCACAGAAAGAAAATCCTATTTGGGCATAGATGATGTAGGTACGTTTTATTACTACTACAAACATTTCTATTATAAAAACATATATTCTTACCACCTTTAGTATGAAAATATGGTCGACAGCCACAGAACATTATCGCCATTTTATCGTTCGTAAGGAGTAAACTCCAATCGTGCGTCGTAGCTGACACACACACACACTTTTTTTTTCTTTCAGGAAAAATAATTGCTATTATTACTAGGATCCTAAGTACATTACATAATATATCAAATGAAAGCCGATTTAAACATTGTTGTTATGTATATAATTAAATAGTTAAAATAAATAACTAACTATATTACAATCTATATACATTAATTAATCTAATTACGCACTGAAGAGCAAAAACGTTTACGATTGTTTCACTGTTTAAAAATAATTACGGACGACACAGTGACCGCACGTTTTGACGAAAGTTTAGAACTTAATAATGTATTACCACTACTACATTCGTTTTTAAACTGTCGCATTCACTTTTTATGATTATTTGGTAGAATTACAATCTAAACTAAAACTATCTTTATAGTTGCGATCTATTTCAGGAGAGGTAAAATTTGGTAAACGGTTACTAAGATTATGCACAAAATAATGTCCGTACAATAGACATTCTAGTGTATTTTATAGCGAAATGTTTTGCAAAAATTCTGAAAAAAATTACTGTTATAGTTCATCACCCAATGAAGTCAAAAATGAGAAAACATTTAAAAATATATTAAAAATCAATAATAAAACCCGAATTCGGGTTACATCAACTCGATTGGCTTCGTTTATATAGGATCTTAGTGAACCATTAGCAAAATGAAGTATGTAAAATGCAATAATATATTAAAATTTATGTACATAGTAATATGACCTTTCATTTGTTATCATAATGTCAGACAGACATTAGCGAAACTTCGATTACCAATACTGATCCATTAATTATGTAATTATCCCCAGTTCGTATTGTGTGGAATTTTAACAACCAAATTTGATTAGTTTATAGTGCGTATCGTCTCAACATAATTAAGTAGTTTGATTTCCTTTCAGGCTCATCAGTTACGCCACCGCCGATAGACGGAAGTACGCCGGAAAAGAAACCGGAACGCCGTCTCTCTAGGGACAAAAGATCTAACCACAAATCATCCGACAAAGTTGACGGTGTTAGGAAATTGGAAACAATAGAGGAAAAACAAAGGGAGGGAAAGCATAGTAAATCCGATAAAACTCCGAGTCCACTGAAGAATGCCAAAACCTCATCTTCTAGCAATTCCGACAGTTCCTCCTCATCGAGCAACTCATCAGACAGCGAACCCGAAATTGTAGAAACTCGACCCAAGAAACGCAAGCGTAAAGGCTCAAGTTCGAGCGAGTCTCAGAAAAAGTCAAAGCGTCATAAGAAAGAAAAACACAAAAATGACAAAAGTCCAAAGCCGAATGAAAATAAGAAAGACAAACATAAAAAAGACGAGAGACGAAAGGACTCCGAAGAGGAAAAACCAAAAAGGCGTTCAAAAAGATCAACATCCATCAGTTCAGGAAAACGACGTTCCAGAGACAAGTCCGAGGAGAGATCGTTCAGACGAGACAAGAAATCTTACGACAGAGATTCTAAACGGGACAGGTCTTACGACAAACACGATAGAGAATCTAAACGGGATAGGTCTTACGATAAATCCGGGAGAGATTACGATAGGGACTCGAAACGGGAGAGATCTCACGATAGGTCCAGGGACTACGAGCGGAGCGATAGGGATTCCAAACGGGACAGGTCTTACGATAAATCTAGTCGGGGTTACGAGAGAAGCGATTCGAAAAGGGATAGAGATAGGTCTCGCGACAGGCACGGCAGGGACTACGACAAGTACGAGAAGGAGGCGAGGCATAGGGATAAGTCGTATGATAGATCCGGCCGGGATTACGTTAAAAGCGATAGGGATAGGCGGGATAGGTCTTATGATAAGTACGACCGTAGGGATTACGAGAGGAGACGATCGAGGAGTACCAGCCGTTACAGACATCGGAGATGAACATCAGGTTACAACAATAGAAGGTGGTCTTCACTTTTTCTAATCTTCATTTCAGTTTTCAGTTGTTTTTGAGTGTTCTTAGTATCAGCTGTCAAAGAATGCTTAAAAATTCCATTTTAATTATCAATATTGTATATTATTTTCTATATATTATTATTAATTATAAGGAGTTATATTACCATAGCATCAAAATAATTTACATATATTTGTTTGTATAAATTATATTTGGAATTTAAAGGAATGCCATCATAAAATTCTTATCCATACTTTGTTTTGAAGGAAAATCTATTTGATTTATAACCTGCAACACTGTTTTCTTTAATATGTTGTGTATGTCTAAGGATGAAAATAAAATAAATATTTAGTTTTAAAATTATCTAATTTCATTAGAAATAGGATATTACTGATATATAATAATAGTACATTTTCTTTTACAGGTTGGTATGCAGAGAAGTTAGCTTCTTCAACTGTAAATAATGTTTATGAATATTAATTTGCTGCTTTACATTATATTATTAAATTTTTAAAAGGAATCCAGTATTTCATTTGTGTATAATTTTTAGTGGTACCTGAACAATCTGTATCTCATATAAATGAAACAATTAAATATAGCTTCGAAATATATTCACTATGGAAGTACACTTTCTAAAGACATTGAAGTTTCAATATAAATTATTTTCATTATATAGGTTTGCTTTCTTGACACTAGTTATCGACTCACATTGCACTGTATAACATCTCAAGCACAATAAATAGTTAAAACTAAATTGTAGGCCTGCTACCATTTACATTATTTACCAAATCTAAGATCACATTTATTATACTTATACAAAGCACCTAAGTAGTTATTCACATTTATGCTATGGTCAATAGAAATTTGTATAAATTCCGTTAATCTTATATGCCATGGTAAAAGACCATATGCACAACATAAAGGGCCCGAATAGAGGACCAAGTTTGGATCAGGAATTGAAGGATATATGGTTTTTAATGTCCGGTCTAACTCTTGTGAAGTAAACTCATCAGAGCTTCTAATACACAAAGTATTATCTTGAGATATTTGTTGCAAACACTTGGTAATTTTTGGTCTCCCATCATTGTAAGATAATATATTCACAGAAATTGTATTTGCTTGAATACCATTTGTATACCCATTTAAATTGGGCTTATCAAACCATTTAATGCAGCCTGGTATACCTTTCTTCTGCTTTTCAACTTCAACAAATAAATTTTCTTCATCTTTCTGCAATTTGCCTGTAACAAGTTGATTTATTTGATTGTAAAAAAGTATTTTTATTAATTAGCCCTGCTCTGCCAGTTAAGTAAATTAACAAGAGGAATTTATATACTATTCCTGATTTAAGATTTTTTACCATTATAATAGTTTGGGATGAAGGTTGCATGTTGCCAATGCAGGCTAATATTGCATCATGTCTAATGCTAAAACATTAATAAAAGTATTAGAAATATTTTTACCTGTTATATCATGAAAACTGACATAAGATATCCCAAAGACGAGACTCCAGATAACTACACGAGCCAGGTCAGTGAGGGTATGATGATCAGTATCGACCAATACTACTAAATGCTTTAGCTCCTTCGTTATTAAAGGCACATGCCCCAATACAGTCATCACTTCATTGTTCACAGTCTGATTTTTGGGTAAATTTGACATTTTAACACAGAACCGGTGATAAACATTTTGAATAGCAACAAGTACACTCACAACTAAATGCAGAAGGACAAACAAAATTTGTCTGATTAATCGCGATAGCATTATAAAGGAGTTTCGGTACACTAAACACTCTTATATTTGATCATCCTCTATAAAATTACAAAACTATTTTCATAAACGAAACCGCATCGTCAATAATCTGCACATACTTAGACCGTTTTAAAACTAAAAAGGGCACATTAATGTACCTACTAACAGCCAATCACGAGCTCATATGTGTCAAACATGTGGCAATTGACAGCATCCATTACTGCCAACGTGATTGATAAAGTACCTTTTTATCATCAATCAAAAAAACAATTTCTCATCACTTGCTTCTTATTGATCTTGTAAAAATGTTAACTGTTAAGTTAAAAATTAATCTAGTAATTAATTTTAGATTAAATAATTAGTAATATTAAAGTCTACGTTCATATAGATTTCGTACGTAAAACATTTTTTTATTATTTAAAGAGAAAAGAAATCAATAGTTAACATTTTTATTGCTATTTTTAGATTCATATTATAATACATTTATAAAATATATATATAAATCGGTAAAAGTGTTTGATTTTAAGAATGATTCAAAAATTATAATCTGCATTCTGTATAGCTATCCGATTTTTTTCTATCCGTTTCCGCGTCGCCATTATTGTTTCCTTCTTTCATTGTCAGACTTGGCTGATAGGTTAGTTTTGCCAATAAAATAACAAATTACATTTAAATTTAATGATAAATTACTGTTGTAAATATAAAATATATAATTATTTTATAAGTGTTATTCTCAATTCGATAATATAAAGTGTAGCCTTCGCATGCCCAACTTATCGTGATTGGTATAAAAGTGACCACGCCGTAACAAGGTGCTGTTGATTTATTTTTCAGATTTTCCAAGATGCAATTGCACATTCGAGGACAATCAACACACGTCCTAGACGTAAATGGAGAGGATTCCATTGGTCAGATCAAGGTAAATCGGAGCATATTATGAATGCGTGTTCTAACCTTACCACTGTTAAATGCTTCATGTAGTTATCATTAGGAGGGTGTTTTTTTGGCTGTCGTAACACAGTTTTAAAATGTTATAGGATCGCATCCGCAATCTTGCCGATGTAGGGGCAGAGGAGTTGACACTTTCCGTATGCGGATCTCCACTTGAAGATGATGTGTTGGTCTCGGAGCTTTCTGCGACTGATTTGGACCTTAACATCCCACTTCTTGGTGGTAAAGTACACGGATCCTTAGCTCGTGCTGGTGAGTATTTGAGACAATTGAGGGGTAAATGTTTTAAAGCTTTACCTAAGCTGTTCATTCAGACAATATATTGCAATGCATTATTACCTTTGCATTTTTCAACTTAAACCTTTTATGGAAGTTTGCCTGTAAGAACATTACAAGTAAATAAAATACAGATAATGTTTAATTTTTCAGGTAAGGTAAAGGGACAAACTCCAAAAGTAGAGAAGCAACAAAAGAAAAAGAAGAAGACCGGCCGTGCTAAGCGTAGGATCCAATACAACAGGAGGTATGTAATCAGAATAAGTTGGAATTACTAAATTGGTTTCTTGGCTTTTTGATTTATTTTAGCTACAATTTGAGCATATTGCTGATCTCTAAATAACCTTGATTATGATAAGGTGAGCTACTAAAGCAATTAACTCTTGCCTCTTCACACAATTTATTTTACATTTAGGTCTCTGCTTTATAACGAATTTCAAGGGACCGAGCATTTTCTTTAGTTATAGGAAGTGAATAGAAAAAAAAACCAAATATAACCAATTACAATAATTTCTAATTTTATTACTGTCAATAGGTAAATTATTCTTTTTTATTAAGCACATAACGGTTTTTTACTGGCCATCTTGACAGTTTCAAAGTTTGTTTATAACTGATAATACATGATAGGTAACGGTGGTGCGTTTAGTAACTGAGACCAAAATTTCCTACAGGCAATGTTATCTAAGAATAATGGCACACATGTTAATGCAATTGACAATAACAAAGGCTGTTTATGACCTCAGGTGTCTTTCTTATAAATTTCGGCACCTCTAAAAGTTTAGTTTTATAAAAACAATTACACTCAAGTATGTTGTTGATGTCTAAATATGAAAATATTTTTTCGGTATAGAGAATGGCTGTTGCGTTATAAAGAGTGAATTAATGTATGGGTTTTGTGTTAAAAAACAAATGTAACTATTTTTATGTTATAGATTTTTTCGTTATAATGCATGATGTTATAAATAGTTTACACTATATTTTAAATTGAACTTTATGAAAGATGTTTTGATTAGATCAATTAATAATTATAACCGTAATATAGTGATAATTTTAATATAATTTAATTTTTTAGGTTTGTCAACGTAGTACAGACATTCGGCCGCAGACGGGGACCCAACTCTAACTCATAAGCCATTAAATGTACATAAAAATGTCAATAAATAACATCTAAATTGACTCAAATATATGTTTTATTTAGTTTTACACAATCATTTAAATAGGTGTAGCCTGGATTCAAACGGTTTGCCATTTTACCATATCTCTGCATAATATTCTGTTGAAGTGTCTATAGTCAAATCACAATCATCTACATCGGCTTTCCCCAAAGTGTGTACCGCGGCACACTGGTGCACCGTGGTCATTAATTGGTGTGCCTCAGAAAAATTAGGTTATTTATTAAACTTATCTAATTCTGGGGATATCTGGCAGATATATTTGCTCACTTAAATGAGCTCAAGGGAATGCGTCAGGACAATCTACTAAGAGATAAGAGCAGCCCTGTCAACAATTACTCCAAACTCCTTTTGATTTCCTACATGTACCTTGAACACAAAAAGTTTGCGGTACACTGATATTCATAAGTACACCAGCCACCAGGCAGGTCGTTAATTGATCAAATCTTTGACGGTTGCCTACTTTTGTTATTATATTCATGATAAAGAAGTTATCCTAAATTTGACAAAATAGAAACGCTAATCTAAATAAAATAGAATCCTAGAAGTCTGTCAAATATTTGTTTAAATTATTAGAGTTTTCAAAAATATTAGACGCAAGCTCATTTTACTCCTATCGTAAAACAAATGCTTGGTAGAGCTGCAGAATTAGATAGGTACCAGCGTTGCCAGATTTCTTTTTTGTCAAGTCGGGATTTTGGCACTTTTAAGTGAAAAGAGCGGGATTTATTTGTCGAAAGCGGGACATAGTAAAAAAATTGAGTTCAAATCACGTTTGCGTGACGAAAATATAACGAAAATAGTACAGAAAATATATTTAAATCTGATTAGGGATGTGACATTTTGCAAAAAAATCGATTTTTATTAATCGATTATTTTTTACATTGAATAATCGATTAATAAATAATCGATTTTTCTTAAAAAAATAATCGTTTTTTTATTAATCGATTTTTTCCAAATTTTTTAATTAATTTCAAAATAAACACCCTAAATATTTTATTTTTCATGGTTTTTTAAATTAAAAATAAACAATAGAAATTATAAACACAATTTAACGTTTAAGAATAATAAAAATCAAAATTAACTTAATCTCGTTTTGATAGATTTTTGATAAATGTGAGGGTCCTTTTCAGTAGGGGCTTTTTGCTGTCGTTTTAATTGTATGTAGTCTTGTGTGCTGAATAAATTTATTTTACTTTTAAATTATAGTGTTCCATTCAAACTTGAGTTTTTGTAAAATTAACTGCTTTTATCATCCTTTTGATGTTTTACAAAAAAACATCAATGTATCGAGTATATCAATACATCTTCAAAGAATCGGATTCAATGTATCGCATTGTAAACATCGTTGTTATCGAATATCCCTGATAGTTGAGGTCCGGGTTTTAAAATACCAGACATAATGTCGGGGGGGGAGGTGGCAGATAAAAAATCGATTATGATTGATTTTCAATTATAAAAATAATCGATTATTTTAAATTTAAAAATCGCGTAAAAATCGATTTTTACTTTTAAAAAATAGATTAAAACGATTTTTTAATAATCGATATTTTTTCACATCCCTAAATCTGATTAAAACTATCGTTTAATAGTTCTTAGGAAGCGTTCAAGTATTACGTAACGAATTTTGGGGGGGGGTCATTTTGTAAAATGTTACGATGCGGGACGGGGATTGAATTACGCGTTATTGTTAATATTATTTTCGACTTTCCAGTACTTTACACCACATAATGGTAACTTTTAGGTATAAAGAGTCAATGGGTGGTCACGAAACGTTTTACTATTGGGTACAGAAAAACGTTACGGCGCGTTACATGGGGGGGGTTTAATAATCTCCAAAAATTGCGTGACGTAATACTTGAACGCTCCCTTATTCATCTTCTGATTAAAAAACAAAAAAGTTTTATTTATTAGAAAAATATAGCATTTATAACAATACTCTGAAGAGTGTGTTTCTAATTGCAACTTACAATAAGACTAATTATTTATAAATTATAAGAATTACTTATTCATAATATTTCTATGAAGATATAAATTCTTTAAAAGTTTCATTTTTCTCTTTAAAAAAGACGAAGAACTCTTCACAGGATAGCTGTAGATATAACTGGATGAGTAACTCTGATTTCATTAAATTTACGAAGCATTTATTTCTGGCATCTGACCATTTTAAATTTATCTGGAAAAAGAAGGCGTTCTGGAAAGCATGATGTTGGGTATCCCAATGAATATGAAAGATAGACTAGTTTGACGATAATTAAGCTTTTTATTTTATCGCGGGCTTTGAGCGCGGCGACCGAATCAAGAAATTCCGTAACGAAATAAACGTAACACACGATGACATAATATAGGTGCTGGCTGCATGCGCGTGGGCATACAAACGCGTTAGAGCGTATCAAAGGGTTAGTGTGATCGGAAGGCGTGAGTGAGTCGGTGGAAAGTGGTAGATTGAATTAATATCAAAGAAAAAAAAACTGCAAAAAATAAATAAATAATTATATTGCATAAGTTTATAAAAATTCTATGCAATAGCTTTACCGCGGCAGTCCCCGAGTGCCACACATTTTTTTTGATACTGTAGAAAGAGTTAGTGCCATTATTGCGGTGGTGGTAGAGCACACTTGTCAGTCCCATCTAATTATTCCCGAAAAGCGGGACTATGCTAGTTCCGCGCGGGATATTTCATTTTCATTTGGACGTATGGCAACGCTGATAGGTACTCTAAACAGGATTGCAATTATTTTGCCGGCATCTAACGGCACAAACCAAGTTCGAAGTTCCTTAAATATCCGTAACGCTAATGTTCGAATTTGGAATCGCTATCTATGTTAATATAGACATCTTACTTTAATTATTAATAAAACAAAATTATAATAACAACAAGTTTATTGGATATAGTATTACAACTAAATCTAAAATAATGTGGGGAAATGTTACCGAGTTTAAACTTATGGCACTGTGGGGTTTACTGTATAAATTAAAATCATAGCCACAATAGTTCAAGTTTTTAAATATTATATTCAAATATGTATGGACAATACATAGGCAATAACTAAATTCATAAAAGATTTCTTGAATTTCTTTCATCTATGTCAGATTATGAAATTGGTTATTTGGAAATAATTAATAATATCTTTTAATATTAACCTAATATCGCATTCCCCGTAAGCCAAAGTTTTTGAATTCGTAAACAATAATAAGAAGCTAAATATGACTATGATTTTACATATATTTCTACAAACCACAGCCAGTTATCTAAATATCAGTTATCATTGTATTCTACAAGCAACATAGTAATAATCAATTACTTACTAAGGATACATAAAGATTTGTGGAGAAATTACCGGAATGAATGAAAATTCACAAATTGCGTTTGATTAACATATTGAAATAATTATGCGTGTTGTAATGCTATTAACAGCTTGTCCTGTAAAATACATAATTAATAAATTATAAAGGAATCAAGTACAATAGGCATATTAAAAGTAAGAGTAATCCTGCATGTAGACAAAATATAAATTATCTTCAATAAAAGATAACAGTCTACGTCATAACAACTTACAATAAGGCACATACATTTAAAATATAATTTATAATCACACGTTTTTAAACATTACGCCTTAATCTAATGATAAATTGGTATAAGGGTCATAAACGTATATAATTCAAAAACTCTTTCAATTCATACTTGATTTATATTCACATCAAGAACTTTAGGAAACTAGGTACTTTTCTACTTTATTTATTTATTGTGTACACATTTAATATTTAAATTAGTAAGGCACTTCAAATTCGGTTTTATGGTACCCTGACAAGATTATTCTCCAAAATTCGTAAATCATTTGTCAATATCGAAATTTCCATATAGGTATTATGTCACGCATACACGTTACGTTACGGCACGTCATAAATATTATTTCTCGTTTTGTACTTTTAAAACTAAACTATACACCTACTTAACTAATTTAAATGCACAAACTCTACCATCACAATTTTTGGGCTTCAATGTGTCAGTCACTCTATTATTCGTACATTCCAATAAAAATTAATCTCTACGTGATGTTCGTTTAAGTACAAAACTAGAGTTTCAATTTCTTAAAATAATTTGGCTGTTGACTATCAACTAGTTCCAAAAGACGAGCTTCTTTTTCTCGATTTGGCTAAGATTTGGCCGTCATGGAAACTGCCATGAAAATGTAACTGTCAGGTGGTATTGACAGCTGCGAGTTTCAGAACAGGAACAATCTATATCAGTACACGACTGGCGCATTATAAGTACAAAAATTAAAATACATTAAAATAGGTTCATGGAAGGATTTGATTCGTCAAAGGCCACTTAAAAATAAACCGCGGAGAGGCAGTGTTCACCTAACATGAAAGAAGGAATACGAAATGGTTTCAATTCTTCAACAACTTTTTGTTCTGGAGTTTGCTATATTATGTCTAAGTATGTTTTATTTACAGTAGGTCGTTTAATTGTGAATAAAAGTTATATGTTAAAGCCTATCTTTATATATATAATTCTTCTGTGAGTGTGTATGTCACTGAACTTCTCTCAAACGACTGGACCGATTTTGATGAAATTTTTTGTGTGTGTTCAAGGGGATCTGGGAATGGTTTAGATTCACAAATCAGCCCGGCAGATGGCACTGCAGTCGGTACTTTCATACTTTGCTTAATATTCTAATCGCTTTAAATATCATACAGGACAACGTCTGTGGGGTCCACTAGTATTAGTATAAATATGCTTTGTCTTTAGAGTACAATATAAATAATCTATTGTTATGGAAACGTGTGGTAATTTTTTTTATTTGTGGATAAGTTATGGAGAACCATTTCGCATCTTCTTTCATTTACGTCCTAAAACGGACTAAAAATTCTACCAGAAACCTGGTGTGTTGGAATCACAACTCGATTTCTCATATTTCAGACTTTTGGGGTGGACAGTTTGTTCCTAGATTTCTCCCACCGACTAATGTAGTCCACTGGGTAACACATTACGGCAGAAAATATTAAGAAACCGCCAGACACACAGAATGATATGGTGTAGCTATGTGTTAGGTCCATTAGAGCACCTGAAAAGATATTAATTTTTAATTTAGTATTGTATATCAAGGTAATAAATTAATTTTCAGTAAATGAGATAAGCAAAAAAGTATATTAGAGCGGAGTTAATTAATACCTGCTATGGGAACACCTAACACAGCTCCGAGGCCCTGGAAGAGCAGGAACAAACCGAAGCAGTTGGTCAACTGCTCTAGACCTATGTACTCCACCACCAAGATTGAACGAAGGGATGCGAAACATGCTGAAACAAGAAAACTCAGTTGTGAAAAAATAATAAAGATTTATCAAGTCATTTATATATTTGTATATTTAGTTACGTCTTGGTGAGTTGCGCTTACGGAAGTAAGCTTGAGTTCTTATGACTTCAGAAATATAGTCAGCGGAACAGGTATCAAAATATCACACGCAATTGACGCACTTATTACTTTCGAGTAATACAAATATGTCTGATATAAAGAAATAAATTATGTGATTTCAGCAAAAGCCATTAACTCACCGACAGCTAGCCCAAAGATTGCGCAGTATCCGAATTGATAGATCTCATTGAAATACAGTCCACTCATCATCGTAGCCACGCCACCAGCAGTAAGAGCGATGTTGTTCAACCACAGAGGAGACACCTTCGGCATAGAGGAAACCAGCCCACATCCAATACGTCCGAGGATGTTTGTGATGCCGATCGTCGATATCAGCCACACGCTCTTCGATTTGGTCCAGCCGTTGTCTTCTGCCCTCTGAGCTACGTATGTGTAAGGCACGAAGAATCCTAACATAGTGAAAAATCCGCTTATCGCCAGTATGTTAAACGTCGGCGACCGGAACAAGCTCACGTCCAGCATGGTAGCGAGCGCTCGTCTCACCGCTTCCGGACAGAGTTGACATTTTCCAGACTGTTCCTCTTGTGTATCCTCCTTTGTCGGGACGTGCGTCACGGCCAAGTGGTACCCTAGCGAAGTTCTAGACGTATATTGAGGCAGCCTTGCGAGACTGCCCCCGAAAAAGATGTCGTCTCGATACAGAGGGCGTGCGACCAAATCGAGGTGGGATCGGCGAGGCCGAGCCTCACGCGTGACAATTTTAACAGAATTAGCAATCAGTGGCTCGGCATTGTCGACGTTACTGTTAGAGTCCTCCTGTTCGTCTTTCTCGGCCACCGAACTGGCGATGAAGAGAGGCTTACAATTATGTTTGATCGTGCCGGCCGTTGCGGAGGACCTTCTGCTGAGATGTGAGTTGCTTCCCCGGAAGACTTCTTCGGCCGTCGGGTACCTAGTGTTATTGGCGACTCCCATCCACGTGTGAGGGCTGACTCGGTTGGTGAATCTCATTTCTGGGGGCATTGAGATTCCTGAGTCCAGTTTGTTGTGGAGTTTGAGCATGGAGTTAAGTTTCTCGACAGCTTCCTCGTGTCGCCGCGAGGTATCATCTTCTTCTCTTTGGTCTGCCAAGGTCACCCTGACAGGTTGTATGGGCCTGAATGCGAGACCGCAAACCAGACAGATGAGAAGGAATGCTGAAACAATTTGTATTGTGAATGTTCATGTTTCGTAACCGAGCTTCCGGTATTATCGCGTGACCTCGAATTTATCAAGCGTGTGCTTTTAATATTGTGCGCAATATATTAAAGTATACGCTGGTAATAAGATAACACAACATTGGTTTTGGGCAAATCTATATCGAATATATAGAAATGATGTCATTGATGCCTACAATAAATGACGATCCTTAAAATATAAAAAATCAATATATAAATATATTGTCGCTTCTTAGTCATTATGTAGTTGGCACCTGCTGCTTCAGTAACCAGAAAGAAACAAGCTTTTAATTTTTACACCGATATAAATTGAAAACTGATTTAAATTTAATAAAAACAAATAATGGTAACAGTTTTGAATACCGTCGCACTTTTTTTATGATACTAACTATTTAGGGGTCTCGGGGACCTTCATTGGAACACCTCCAAGTGATTTTGCTGCAGGAAACGCACGTCAAACGTCTAAGTATTTAAAAAAAAATTAAAGTTTTGTGCAATGTATTGAAATTTGTAAACAATTCGCCATTTTCTACTTTTCTATTGGTTATAAGAGATGTGACATTCCTTTAAAAAATAGTTTTTTAATTAATCGATTGTTAATAATCGTTTTTTAAGTAACGTTTTTCTAACGGATATTCTGCACTGTAAGACTGTTCACACACTGTTCTAGCAAAATCCACATTCGAAATGGCCGTTTGCGTTTATAAAATTAATAGGGATGTGAAAAATAATCGATTTCTTTAAAAGTGAAAATCGATTTTTGTATTCAATTTTAATATTAAAAATAATTGAAAATCAATCATAGTTGATCAGTTTCAGTTGAACAGTTATTTTAAAAATAAATATTCATATACTAACCTAACCTAACCGATGTACACACAACGGACCAATTACGAGTCTAATTGCGGAGAACGGAGTCCTACTACCCTAACCCTAACCCTAACCTAACCGATCTAAATAATATTTGTTTTTTTGGACAGCTCCGATCTAAATAATAATTGTTTATTCAAGCCTCCGCAACTCGGCTTCTTGGTCGCCTTTGGCGACCAAATATTCATAACTAACCTAACCTAACCGATCTAAATAATATTTGTTTTTTGGACAGCTCCGGCGCTACGGGAAATGCAGCCCCTCCATCCTTGCGTACCAAAGCAGGCATTTTATTCACAGGCAGTTACAGCGGGTGGGGGCTGCTCTTCCTCCGTGCCTCCGATTATTTATATACACTCTAGGGGAAGGCAGACAAGACACGTGGATAGTGGGGTGCTCTGATTCGGTTTTGGGTACTTTTTGGATATTAAAGTAAACACTTTATTCTAATAAAAATTAAATAATATAGAAAGTATCAAACAATGAAATACAAGTACTAATTAGGACATACAGATGAGTAGGTATCGATAATTTCAAAAAAATCTATCAACACGAAATTAGGTTAATTTCAATGTTGATTATTCTATAACTTTAAATTTAAAAAATTTGGAAATAATCGATAAATAAGAAAAAAACGATTATTAACAAACGATAAATTAAAAACACGATTTTTTAAAGTGAACGTTACATCTCTAATAACCAATAGAAAAGTAGAAAATGGCGGATTGTTTACAAATTTCAATACATTTCACAAAACTTTAAATTTTTAGTAAAAATACTTAGACGCGTTTCCTGCAGCAAAAATTACTTGGAGGTGTTCCAATGAAGGTCCCGAGACTCCTAAATAGTTAGTATCATAAAAAAAAAGCGACGGTATTCAAAACCCAACCCCAAATAATTGACATTTGCTATTTTAAAACCCATACCTCCATTAATTGCAACGGCAACTCTCCAACCATAGTTCTCGATAAGAGAGTCGGTCAGCGGTGCGAACACAAAGGTACCGACTCCGGAGCCACAAAGTGCCAAGCCTGTGGCTAAAGCGCGCCATCTCTCGAAGTAGAAACCGACAGTCAACACGGCCGGCATGTATATCATACAGAAACCAATACCTAAAAATCATACATTGCATATTTTTAATACATAAATCTAGTCGATACGACTAGTGTGGCCGATCCCCGGCTGTGCGCCAATGGAGTTTCTTTCTATGTGCGCATTTAACATTCGCTCGAACGGTGAAGGAAAACATCGTGAGGGAACCGGCTTGTCTTAGACCCAAAAAGTCGACGGCGTGTGTCAGGCACAGGAGGCTTATCACTTACTTGCCTATTAGATTCACAAAAGATCATGAAACAGTTTCAGAAATCTGAGACCAACAAAGGTCGATTTTTTTATTATTTAAAGAATTATTTTGGTAGTCATAACTTTTGCCTAGACTTAACGAAGCCTGAACTAGTTAGATTTTGACTTGCGGCATCTTCTTATCAAGTTAAACTATTACCTTTGGCAAACAAAAAAAAAAAAAAAAAAAAAAAAAAAAAAAAGTTTTGTTTTTTGTAACTTTTTGTAATATGTATTATAATTACATTGAACCTAGAACCACGGTAGCTACTTTATATATAAATACAAACATAGACAAAAAAATGTATAGACTTACCTCCCATTACTCCATAGATTAGGTACAAATACTCAACGCTGGTCGCAAAATATGACAACGTAAACGCACTTGCCGTTATCATACTTCCCAAAATCGTCACAACACGAAAACCATACCTAAAATGGAGGGTAAAACAATTAATTTAAATGTAGGCTAGAGATAAGATATTACGATAATGTAGGTAATTAGACTACTTTGGCTAAAAACAATTATTAAAGGCTTTAGAGCGTTAACTAGGGATTAATTATCACTAATTAAAAATAGCGTAGACAAGTTGAAAGTTAGTTGAAAACATATTTTGTATTTTCGATTAAAATTCAATGACAACTTTCTGTATATACCTCCAAATTTGTATCTTGTATACTCTAAATTTACTTACTTATTTGCTAAGGCAGAAGCAAACGGACCAGCGATAAGGTAAAATCCCTGTAGTAATGAGAAAACTGGTGCCACCACTCCCCCCGTCACCTGTGGACAATATTACATTGAATTTTTAATAGTCGATTTCTTAAATACATTATTTAAAGAGTGTGTACATTGTGAAATATTTCTATTCGTCTATCAGAAAAATGTCTGCCTCCAACCTATATCGGAAACATAAACTGTAGTTTACGCTATATCAATGAAAACCGGTACTAGAAATAAGCAATACGGAAGCATATATTTCCACATAATGTAATGTGATAGAATCTACTTACCAGACCTTTATTTCCGATTTCGCATTACCTATTCTCGTTGACCGATTAGCCTTGTTATTTGACATATTGACAGTGACATACGCGATTAATTTATTAGCGATCAAGCATCAGTCTGTCGGTCTTTTGATTATAAAGTAGTAATTACAGTTTGTCAAGTATAACGTGTGGTAAAAAAGGGAACTAATTTCGACAGTCATCGTCTATTCTCAGAACTATTATAGGAATTATTTTTGTCGCGGCACGTAACGAGATCGAAAACGCCGAGTTACACTTGAGACCTTGTATATTACGTAGTATATCTGTAAGGTAGTTGATTTATTGTAATAAAATTAAGCGGAAATGGGAAATTTATGTGTAGCTTTTAGTACCATAAACGAAGAAAGAATTTTTAACTTTCAAATCATATGTTTTTTAAGCTGAATTATTAAGCGTTTGTATAGATGCCAAATATCATATTATAACAATTTTCATACTACAAATCAAATAATGAATACAAGTAATTTGGATTTTCTAAATACATATTATATTAATATATATGCCTCCGCACCTGTGTGGTTAACGCAAAGGGCGTTGCACACAGTTCCTTGGTTCAACGAATCCAAAATGTATTAGTGAATGATAAAACGGACTGTCCCATTCCCATGGAAGGTTACGTATTAATTAACCTTCACTGGTATTGTAAAGTTCATTCATATTACCTAGTAATATCTAGCTAGGCTCAGACACTAACGGGACTAAACGTCTAAGGTAACAATGCAAATAGCATTACTGTTACCAGGCATTTATGAATATATACAACAAGTATTTTAACATACACCAAATGTTTAATCGAAAAAAATTTAAGGTTCGCGTGTAAAGCGTGCGACTCGAAAACCTGGGTCGTCGCTTCAACTCCGTGTACCGATGTTTAGTTTTTTCTGTGTGCGGAATAACTTAAATATCGACAACGGGATGAACACATACCTATGCCTGATCACCATCTTTAAAACAATGCTCCATAAAACGCATGCAAATATGAGGCCCAAAAGGGTTTGTGCGCCGATAGACCAAATAGAATATATAAGACTCTAGCTAAAGAGTTTCTATATTTAACTGGCTTGTTACATACGTACGATATTTATTTTTAGAATAGAATTCTTAAATACATAGAAAAAATTACACAATTTAAGATACATCGCAAATTATAACCCCGCCCACATTTTTATTGGTAGACTGGCAACCCGCCAAGCTTTGCAGGTAACCGATTTAAAAAATTATTACGTTTCTTACTATTGTACTCGTATATCTATGTATGTTTAGTAAATCCAAGGTCCTACATAAGTGCTAAATCAAATTGCTTCAATTGTTAATAACTTCACATTTATCCTCATAGTTAGCAAACGACGACGGTAGTTTGTGGAGGCTTTACCATAAATATACCACATATACCTAGTATATCTAACAATTCGCCTCGAAATGTCAATCTCCTATGGATTTTTTGAAGATTAAAAATGCCTATAATGTTACAACGTAAATGGAACCGGTTTAAATTCATATTATAAGTAAATAAATCAGTGGCGCTACAACCTTTTTAGGTCTGGGCCACAGATTTGTGTATCTGTTGATCATTTGTCAATCTAATAGGCAAGTAGGTGATCAGCCTCCTGTGCTTGATACACGCCGTCGACTTTTTGGACTAAGGAAAGCCGGTTTCCTCACGATGTTTTCCTTCACCGTTCGAGCGAATGTTAAAAGTGCACATAGAAAGTCCATTGGTGCAAAGGCGGGAATCGAAACTACAAACTCAGCGATGAGAGTCGCTCGCTGAAGCCACTAGGCCTACACTGCACTCCTATTATATTATAAGTATCTATATTTGTATGCTATCAATAAGTCAAGATCATATTTTTTCTAATATACAAACATAATGAGACAGAACATCGTAAACTTATACGAATTCAACGTTTAAAATGTCACAAATATAAACTAAATTTATTTAGGTATCATGCAGAGTCTTAACATTGCTATCATTAATATTGTTTGGATTACAAAATAATGAAGTAATTAACAATCGTTTTAATATGTAATTAACCGCACATTGACCGTCAAATTGTTATCCAAGTTAAATAATTCGTAAATAGTTTTAATTAGCAAGAAGGAACTTAAATATTTGAAATCACCAAGTCTCGAGGCCATCTTAGTTCGTTACCCTTTACTGCTCGTGATAGTCAGGGTTATAGATTCAGGTATTAGATAATTATAAATCCTAATAATTAAATAGTAAGATACTATCTTCATTGAAACAACCTTGAACTTAGAATTTAATTAGACAATTTAGATAATATTATATATAATTACTTATTAAAAAATTCAAATACTACTACTAAATTAGTAATTAAAACAATGAAATTGTAAATACTAATAGAAACGGAACAATATTAAACATTATATTTAAAAAGCTTTAAAACGCAAATGTTAAGTCATTTCCACATTAGTAGATTTGTGTACATTAGTAATTAAAACTGAATAGAATTGTTACAAAATCCATAAATTTCAAGAGATAAAATAAACTTAAGTATCCATTTATCGTATAGTTAATAAATGAAACATTATGTACACACGTTTCAGCTAAAGAATAATATGCCATTACTAATCTCAAAGATTTCCAATTAGTTGTAGTAAGTATGTATTTACATACAATACAAAAATAATCATATAATGGTAACGAAGGCATCGCCATCATGCCGCAAATATACGTCAGTGCGGCCGCAGTATTTACATCCCCGCAGCGATGAAAAAATCGGATACTAGAACCAACGAATTATTGCCCCTAGGAAAAAAAATTTAATACAAGAAATGTCGGCAAAAGAACAAAGTTTGACATTGACATATGTCATAATATATTACATAGCGTGAACTCACTAAACCAGTATTGTATATTAGTGCTATTTACAATACTTATCATTAGGTTGGCGAGTGTATATGGTAGGCAATTCATGAGAAGTTTTTTATGTATATTATAAGTTACGATTTGAGCTATATGTCAAATTATGATTTGTGTGTAATGTCCGCTCTATTTCTTTTTATTATCTTTGGATGTGATCAATGAGAAAGTTGAAATAGTAATTCTTAGCATTGAGTGATAATCAATTTGCGATCGTCTCTCCATCCTGTCGCCAGTGTAAACACGTTTTCTTGACGTCAAACATAATTGCATCGGTAATTGGCCAATTTGAAAGTTAGATGTTTGATATTGATTATTATTGATTGTCAAAATGTCAATTTATTAATATGACCGCGGATTGACGTTTTAAGACAATATTTGTAGAAATAGTTGTCTTTGGTTTCTAGCTAGACATTTGAATAAAACGTTAACGGTTATAAATGCGAGATATTGTATACCTAATAAATTCGCGTTTATATTAGTAAAATTTTAATTTAAAAAGTTTTTTTTAATATTAGACTTACGCTGATTGTGTTAATTAAGCAGGTAAGCTGTTTAATTTAATTGTTAATTTATACTATATAATATAACGAATGCAGGCTTTACGCATAAACGAGAACGGAGACTATATGACTTTAATCACGATATGATCTCAGTGGGAATAATTTGTATTTAAACTACGTAGTAAAACAAGTTGTTGACAAGCATTTAAATATAATAAAATGTAATTGGTCGATAGACAATAGAGTACAGCTATTTTGTGGGTTTTATACTTACGTTACCTTTAAACGGAATTTAGTAGCAAGAAAAATATCTATATCTTAATCACCTTCGATTTTTTTTCCTTATTTTTATATAGCACCCTCGGTATGAAAACATGAATGTTGGTATTAAAATTCACATGTACCACTACTAAATTTTATTCACAAAAATATAATTTGTTTTATTGGAAGCTGTCTTGTGCAATACGATTTTATACAAACTACAACGCGACTTTATAGGCTAATTTTTCATAAAAAATCAGCCTAACTATAAACATATAACATTGCGGTAGGGATTTGTTGGTACTATGTATCGTATACCTTCAGATTATAACAGAAAATACCAGCAAATAGATATATTTAATGTATCTAAAAAATGCTTTAGAAATGATATAAAAACTTTAGTATCCATTATTAGAAAGAATGGCTTTGTTATTCCTCCTTTATACTAAATATGTTGTAATGAACTATGAATCTTAGAATTTAGAATTGATTATAAATACATATATTATTTGTATTTGTATAGGTGTAACTGTGCTTTGTGTATGTTTAAATGTGTATTCCGTTTTGGCTTTTGTGTATAGTGTAATTTTTTGAATATTGTATAGTACTCGTAAGTAGCTGTAGGAATACCGTTAAGCAAATAAATAAATAAATAAATGTCCATTATTCTTCTCATTCAAGAATTATAGATAGAAATTTATTTTAGCGCCAGTTGTTCTACATACCAAATGAGCTGCCAGAAATAGGCCAAAGAGCGATTTTATTTTTAAAACGACCTACCTATTTGCACTTACATGATAATTAGTATTCAATCTTGCAACGACCTACATTTATGTAAATATGCAATTTCATTGTCTGTATTGGCAGCCCTGCAGCCTACGCACCAGTGCTCTTTGAATGAACAAATACGTAATTTGATTACGATTTTCAAAGAAAATAAACTTAAGACCGTTCAATTGTATTAATGTATTAAAATTAAAAGTCACATAAATCAGTTAGCATTGAGCGGCAGTTTCGCAGTGAAAATATAACCCTATTATAATTAAAAATAGAAAACATCTCGACGCGATGCGAGTAGGAATAATAGATTTGACATATTTAGCGCTAAATCTAGACTCTGGATCTTAAGAATTTTTTTTTGTAATAAGGGCAAACGGGCAGGAGGCTCACCTGATGTTAAGTGATACCAGTGGGCAGTGAGTAACTGAACTCTCAGGGACTTGTCGAGCTTCTCACTACGTTACAAGTGTTATACAGAAGGAAGAATTATGTTGGAGACGGGAATCAAACATTGAGTAAAACGCCTCAGGTTGGAGGTTATTACAGGAAAAGACAATATTAATAAATATATTCAATACGCTTTTATTTAATGTGCGATACTTTGCCGATTGGAATTAGTAAACTTGATTTTTGGGTAAACCCGTTGGTGGTATAAATTTGCATGTAAAATAACAAATTTATTGATATGACGTGCCCGTGAGTACTTTTATCGTTCTAAGAAAATATCAACATTAAAAATACCCAAAGACTTTTTATATTTACTGTGATTCTCATATTTGTAAACAAATCAGGTATGCATGGTCCAATATATCAAAAGTTCAGCAATGGCAGACGTAAATGTAGGGCAGATTTTGAAAGTTTTTTGCATATTTATGTATATATAATTTGCTGCAGTTAAACGGGAAAGCACACGTGGCGTCTAAAAATGTTGAACTTGATGTCCACGACATCGAAGAAGACATTATATTGGTGAGTATCATTGGGTCTGCCCGATTTTACATATCTTTAAAATTATAACAGCCTGTTTATAAACATATTACGAAAAATAAAGGCAAGGCAACGGCAAAGGCAACAGATAAGTAAGCAACAAATTATAACTTACATTAAATTCATTCTGAATGGGTTTCTGGAAAGATCCACCGCAGAAAAGTATACCATCGACGATGAAGTTGCAAATGAAAGAAGCAGCCACAACCACCCAGCCCCAGCCTCCATCGGGAGGAACGACCTGGAAGATTTACAATAAATTAATCAAGGATATAATAATAATTAAAATGTAATTCGCTCGGAAGAAAACCCTTTTCAAACCAAATTAATTTCAATAATAATCGCTTATATTGTGTATATTAGATGTTTTGTAACGCTAAGTAGGTATTTTTTTTAAATTATTACAATGACGTCACAATATTATGTTATTGAAGAAATAGCTACAAACTCTGGCCCTATGGAGTATTTCTATTATAGAAGATTATTTACTAAATTTAATACATGAGAAGATGGTTTCTCTAAGGAAATATTACATATTATTTTAATAATAAAATTGTATAAATAAACCATTTAAAGATTTAAGTTGGCGCCTGGTAGATAGTACCGATGACCAGAGCTGTTGCTTTTCTCGCTCAACGATTAAGTATCGCAATACGGCGAGGAAATGCCAGCGTTAAATGTACACTGCCAGGGACCAAACTTTTTAAATTTATTTAATTTACTGTTCATCCTTTTATTATTATTACTATGTATGTTAAGAATACTGTATCGTGTTGGAAATTATTTACTATCTTTAACCATCAATAATAAAACATTCTCATACTGTATTAACACAATTCTCTGTAATTTCATATAGACTTCCATCTCCTTCAGCAAATGTCTTTTCGGTGTTGGTTTCTTGTGGTAACATATTTTAACAAAAATTTAAGTACATATATTGGTGTTATGACGTGACTGTTAGTGTCAATTTATGCTTGTCTTTGATTCCAGATGTGAAGTCAAAGTCAAAATTATTTATTCATATAGGTAACACAATATACACTTATGAACGTCAAAAAAGTAATACATAATAAATGCTTCTAATTTTACATTTACTGCCAGTTCTCAAATCAAGAGCGTAGAACAGAAAAGAACTGGCAATAAACTCTCCGCCACTCTTTTTAATCGCCAAGTTTTTTGTTTTACACAATGTTTGTAAGGAGCTGCAACCATTACACCATGTTCCACATTACTTCTCAAGTAATAAATAATAATAAAATAAATTAAAAACAAAGATTTGTCCTCTATCAGCAGGAGGTATTGTGAAAAAGCACGCACTTACATTCTCGTGGGAAAATACATAGTCGAAATAACTAGCACGAGTGAGATACAATGATTATACTATATCACTAGCTGCCCCGCGAATTTCGTTCTATTTAACTTAGCCTACCTTTTTAGTACATACCAATACCATACGTAACATGGGATATTTTGCTATGCTACCCTGAAACTGTTCGGTTTTCTGGAATGAAAACTTTTTAGGTTTTTCTGTGAATTTTTCTGTGTTCCTCAGAATTTTAATTAGGTCATAAGATTTTAATTATCAAATAAAAAATAGGGGTTGATCGTAGAGGGGTGAAAATTAAGAGTTGTGCGTATTTTTGTATGCTGTGTGCGTTTTCCAATTACAGCACTAGAGCGCATTTTGCGGCATAATGCTCAACTTTGAGTGTTCCAACTACAGCAACGCTTCGCACAATTGAGCACTATCAAAACGAATGCTCTCGCAAACAATACCAACACAGTGACAGAAAATTGACCAGTATTTTTCTTTAAGTTGGCATTTATCGAAATTTTCGTTAGTAAATATTATTTATTGTTGAAAAATTTGTAAGGTTTTTTCATGTAGATTTTGAAAATAATTAAAGTTATTTCAAACTGCTAAAAAAATAAATATTAGTATGGATGATGGTATAAATAGTTATATATTCCACATTTAAAATATGAATACAATTTTATTTTAAAATTCGGATCTGTAAACAAATTTACTTTACAGGATTATACTTTAGAAAAAATTGCAATGGTTTTGAAAAAGTATATATTTTTTTAGAAATCATTAAAAAATATTACTCAAAACGTAAATGATGTAAACTTCTTACATGAAACTAAATATTTTACTGTTAATTTAACTTGTTAAAACCTTATATTCTTTAAAGGTTTTCTCTTATTTCAGTAAAAAAAATTTAATGAAATAATTTGATTATTAAATTAAGCGTAAAAAGTTTTCAACCAATTATTATACATTAATGAGGTTGCTAACTCTATTCAGACCATTTTTTTGTCAACACTGACTTAGCGCACTCTGCTGATGCATTTGAAAACTAATTCACGTTCCAATTAAGCTTCAGCATTATGCGGCATTGTTCGGCACTGAGTCGAAAAATGCTCTGTAATTGGAAAACGCACTAAATCACAAAAAATAAAAGCAATAAATTTTATCTAAAACAATAAAAATAAAAATTTTAAGTTGGACCAGCCTTAACATTTAGGGGTTTGAAAAATAGATAGTAGCCAATTCTCAGACTTACTGAATATGCATAAAAAAATTCGTACGAATCGGTCGAGCCGTTTCGTAGGAGTATGGGAACGAACATTGTGACACGAGAATTCTATATATTAGATATAGGTTTCGATTCAATTACATTTAAAACCAATAAACATTATTTGAACTATACTCAAAATTCGCTAGAAAAAAATACGTGAGTTTTATATTCTTTTTGCTATTAATATAGTTAAGGTTAAAGGGCATGGTAACAGTTTTTTATTAGCTTGGAAACACTGACCTTCCCATATAATGTGTCAATTCTCGGTACTCATTCAAGCAAATTTTTATGGGGCAAAGTAATCTATTATCGACATTCGAGTCTTACGTATGTACATTAAGGCGCGTTTTAAATTGGGAGTGACAAATTTCATAAAGAATAAAACCTATAATTTGTATCATTAGTAGCACAAGTGTTTTCGAATTATTAAATAAAAATATATTTGATTAGCTCGACTAAGCAATTTTATTTCTATAGATGGTAATTAAAATGCGACTAAAATATAGGTCCCAAATATTATAGTAGCCCACAAAAGTGAGTCTAGAACGAACGACCCGACTTTCTTGGCAATTTCTTTTCTTCTTTGCCACAATCGTAATACAGCCATTGTTCAAAGTACTATAAGCAGCAAAGTGAGTGTAATTTCGGCGAAGGCCAAAGAAATAGTTGCGAATAGACAGCCGTTGACGATTTTCTCAGCAATGTTTCGTAATTGCATACGCCTTTTCCATTTCTTTTCCGCTACTGTCATTTTAATCAATATGCACAATCATTTTCATATCTTGTTCATTTTTCTTTTTATTCACAGTGGCAGTCTATGCATTGAGATTTTGTGTATATTTTATCAGTTTGAATTAAAGATTCCTTTATACGCAGCTGTTTGGGTTTTATGTTTTTACCTTGAACTTTTTCAAATGTTAAAAAAACTCCTAAGATATGGTAGGTGACCGCGGCGAATACAATTAAATTAATAAAACCGCGCATAGCAGGAATTGTCCAGTTGTCGAGTGATTGTATCCATTTTAGATTTTTTTAATGATTTAAAAGAATATCAATTCGGCCATGAAATGGTATTTGTCAAATTCTTGACTTCTATCTTTATTAGAACTTATTGTCAGCCAGCGGCAATCACAGATAATTTATAACTTGAAAAAAAACAATGTGTTAAGATATTTGTCAAAAATATCTTAGCTATGGTAATTTTATGACTTACAATTATTTTTGCAACACTAAAATAATGTATTCTAAGAGATAATTATAGAAACTCGGACTACAAAATGTACAGAAAATTTGACAGATCGATTACTTGTGTCACTGCTTAGAATAAGCTTTAATTTTTTTTTGTATGATTACGCTCCGGGAGACCCATTACGGACTCCGCTATACTCGTAACGATGACTTTTAATACTAGTAATACCAACGATAATATTACATCAATGTGTTGTCAGTATTTTTTTTATTTTCGATATTAATTTCTACTCTTTTATATTATTAAATTTTTAATACATAATACTTTTATGGTTAAACAAAAATTTTAAATTTCACTTAATAGAGAGAGACAGAAATATGATACTATTGTAACCTTTTGGGCTTTGAGATGGCTATACTAGGATTATATTCTTACCAAAGCAGCTTCAGGCTCAGAGTCATCAGTAGGGGAGTCTCTCCCCAAGCCGCTCTCATCGGAAGACGGGGTCTCGAAAGGCCGCTCGTCCGTAGCAACTCTTTGAACCATGGTGTCCACTGGAAAAAAATATAATTCTATTAGTTGTAGCACAATATATGTGTATATATGTTTATAACGCGCATATCGTAGCTCATTCCGATTAATAAGGAACGATCACTTATGGCATCAAATTTATATTTTACTAGCAGACCGGCCAAGCGTTGCTAAGGTTTTCGTTATATTACATAGTAGTAAACTATTCAAGGGAAACGGTAGGAGAACTCCAGGCATGGAGACCACCATGCTTTTTCGGTGGTTATGCCATTAAATTGTAGCTTATGTGAAACGTTGGTACTTTCAACGCAGCGCCATGACTTTCAAATAATAAACAAATATTTTGCAATAAAATAATATTGCGGGTATAAATTAAGATGTAAGCTATCTTTCTTTAACTATCTTTTAAGTTAGATCAAACTGCACACGGTGTGCAAATTTGATTGAAATCGGCTTAGTAGTTTAGGAGTCCATAGCGGACAAACAACGTGACGCGTAATTTAAATATATTAAGATTTACAGTCTCGAGTACGACCGTTAGACAAGATTATGAATCTACGTTTATTATTTATTACATGGAATTTATCAATATTTTAGATTACTACAAATATTTTTATCCAGGGCAACATACTGCGATAACAACACTGGACAAACATCGCTGTACATGCTGGTGGAGTGTCCGGCGTGTGGGGCATCCAGGTACCAAAACTAGAGCAGAAAACAAACGTGGTTCCGACAAAAGCTGCATTACCCCAGTAATTAATGACTCACCCCGAACACAGAATATACTTCGAACGAATAGTTCAGCAACTTCATCCCATGGAATATAATAATAATAATTTAATAATTTAGCCCGTTTTTTTCAGATTTTTTAAGGTAGGTAAGGTAAAATACAGTTTAGATTTGTTTGTTTGTTTCTTGTTATCCTAATACCCTAACTTCATCCAGCGAAATATCTATCCATGGATTTCATTCTCCATTCTCTTCCTGCTAACACTTATATTGGTTCTATCCAACGTTTTTTAAGGCCCTCTTCTCTTTCTTCCCCTGGGTCCCTTTCCATATTACGTTACAATCCCATGGAATATTGCCCCAGCAAATTAAAGTACATCATGTATATAATAAAGTCTCTTCCGTGTTAGTATTAAAAAAAAAGGTATTTTCATATATTTTCCGCCCGCACAATTGTACCAATGTTGAAAAATAAGTTTTATTATGTCTTTGAAATAGATAAAATAGTAATTAGTTAAGTCCCGCATCTAGTGAAGCAAACAATTTTTGATAAAAGATCTTACAAATTGTGTTTTATCTTTAGAATCGATTTTCAATAGGAAAATTAAGCAACCTGCTGTACTAACATTACATAAGTACATATTGACGTAATATTAGATTTTCCTTACATTTTAATACAATAGCCACATAATGAGATCTTACAAGTAATATATTTTATCTTCTTACAAATGCACATTTTTAGGTCTGGGCATTTCTGAATCTGTTTCTTGCCCTATTGTCAATCGAATAGACAAGTAGGTGAATAAGCCTGTGCCTGACTCACGCCGTCGACTGTTTGGGTCTAAGGCAAGCCGGTTTCCTCACGATGTTTTCCTTTACCGTTGGCGCGAATGTTAAATACCCACTTAGAAAGAAAGTCCATTGGTACACAGCCGGAGATCGACCCTACGACCTCAGGGATGAGAGCCAGGAAGTTTATTAAATGTTATAACAAACGCCACTGCTGAATATCTTTCAGGCCACTAGTTAAACGGCGCTGTTTCGTTGAGGCTAGGCTGTTGATTGAACGGCTAATTAAGCTAGTTGGCTACGACATATATTTCAAGTAAATCAGCCGATCACTAGTTAAACGCCGTCATGGAAAAAATAAGCTGCGATAATGTTATGAATGTGGACCGATGACCGAATGAACCTTAGCCGACTTAATCGGGTACATAAATACGATAAGTTATTAACTTGGTAATGATACGGACCATCAGTTGCATATTGAAGTATTTCGATTAATAACCAACCACGATGTTTTCAAAAAATTGTTACGCCATAGCGATCAGCCTTTGAGGCGAGTATTTACAATAAATTGACAATTATAAATAACTTAACTTATTATATGACATTATGAAAATTAATATAACATTTACATGCCTGTTTTATATGGCTGATTGTGCGGATTTTTAATATGTTGTAAATATAATAAATAAATTAATAACATGTTTAAAAGAATTTAAAAAATCCTGATGAAGTAACACTTAGCCATATAAGTTTGAAACGATATTATTACCTTCATCAGAAGAGGACATGTTTGAATTTTTGTATTAACGAATCCTTCTCAAAAGTTACTGGACCGATTTCAAAAGATCTTTCACTTTTAACATGCTACATTATTCCTGTACAGATGACAGATGGTCTAAAGCAGTAACCGAATGGACTGGTCCAAGAGGAAAAAGGAACAAAGGAAGACCAATAGAGCGATGGGCCGACGGGATCGAGAGGATAGCTGGAAGAAATTGGATGAGGATGGCTGAAAATAAATTAGGGTGGAAAAAGTTGGAGGAGGCATTCTCCCGGACAGGGGTCACCTCTTAGTTAAAATTATATTTATATCTATTTTTAGTATTTAATGTATGTCAATAAGATGTGGATCAATAAAGGCTTATTATTATTATTCCTGAGTGACAGTTTGAAAGACGGGCAATGTACCTAATAAAGTGGGTGTTCATGGATGTGATGACTGCCCTTTTTTGGCGTCCCGTAAGATCGGCTATACTATTTTTTAATAGTCCAATCCAAAATATTTTGTAAATTTACGGCCGTGCGAAGACGGGAGAGGCCGCTTATATCAATAACGACTGACTACTCAAAGTCGTTCTTTAAATTAAAAATGATGTACAATTAATCAACTTGGAAATTTAATGCCCGATTAGTTAACGAGTGATTTACGTAAGAGTAATATAGCTCTAATGTGTGATCTGTATGTGTTATTAAAAACATTGCAAAATTTATGGTTTCTGTTTCACGTGTCAGCCATGATTTTAGGAAATTAAATCTCATAGAAATGTCTCTTAAATTAAATAAACTACCACAGATTATGCAAATATAAAATATATAATAAGATAGTGTAAAATTGATAAAAATATATTCTGTAAAACTAAAAAAGAACACCGCTGGGTCACCTTGTTTTTGAAACAAAAAAACAAATCAATATTGTTGTCTGTAAACGCAGTATAACCTGTGGTGTTTATTTAGCAGTAGTCATAATAAATTATTCGCTTCTATTAATTATCGCATATAAATTAATGGCTATATGAATAATATGATGAAATGTTTATTCGCAGGGGTTGTTATTGCAAAGCAGGTCAAGTTATAGCAAAACATTATGATAATTTTATCTTAACAAAACTTAAAAATATTATTGAGTACTCAATTTGAACTCTTACAAACTTCTCTTGTTATTTGTTACTTAATTAAAACACGTATTAAGTTTTTTTTATGTATCAAAAACGGGCAGGAGTTTCACCTGATGTTAAGTGATACCACCCAACACTCTCATTGCCAGAAGGCTAGTAAGTGCGTTGCCTTTTAAGAACTGGTACGCTCTTTTCTAGAAGGACCTTAAGTCAGGAATACTTCAGTGGGCAGTTGGTTCCACATAGTGGTGGTGCGGCAAAAACTGCCTTAAGAAACGCTCAGTTGCGGAACGACGGACGTCGAGGTGATACGGATGATATTTTGTATACCGCCTTGACGTCCGATAATGAAACACAGCTGCAGGTATTAATCCGAACCAATCCTCCAAGTTAGTTTAAACTCTAACTCTAAACTCTACTGTAACAATCATTCTTAGCTAGCTAAGAAACAAGTATTCTGATGATCCGTCCGAGTGACCCGAGCGTTGATTTTTAATATTTTTTAGAAAATTTATGGTTTAAAAAAAACATACTAAAACAGGTACGAATAAAGCCTGGGATAAGAGCTTCAGATTCGAGTTCAGATTCAGAAACGAAGCGAGCGCGCCTTAATCTAGCAAAATTAAACTCGTAAAATATATAATATTTAATAAAATCGATAGCAGCTTTAGACTAAACTTATGTGATGTCAATTAATTTTTGGCTTCATAATACTTGCCATGATTGAACAAAAACAAAATTAAACAAGAGCTAGAGGTGACTTTGTGATTTTTTGTATCGATATATATCAGTTTTAATAGCATCAACCATTGAAATTATAGTGAAGGATCAATACATATATTTTTTTAATTCAAACATCACATACTTAAATACAATCATCAGACTGATATTGGTTAATGCTCTTAACGCTAAGTGTGACTCCCATACTTCAAAAACGTATCGAATTTTGACATACGGGAATGATAGTTTGCGTTAATTCTCTTTTATTTAAGTTAATTATCGTAATTAATCGTACTTAGTACTAAAAATCGCGATGTACACCGTGAATTAAACTATTATAACACATTTAAATTTGTTCTGGCTAAGGCTACTTGTGAATGCTGCAATAAACTTCTTGATGCAACAGCAATAAAACGCCTAAAGAGAACTAAACCTTTTGAGTTAAAAAACCTAGTGTTGAGAATATAAGTGCAAGTGCGGTATCTCGGACACACGAACATAGTGTCTAATCATTAAATAGAACACTAAGACTATTAATAGCCATAGCCATAAAAAAAACTTTTGTTCTGACGACTGAATCTGCTATTGAAATTACCCGTATATTTAAACTCATTGTGGTTGATTTTCGTCTACAAACAATTGAAACCCGAAATGACGAAATGAAACTTTTGTTTCTGTTACTTGTCTTAGAATAATAACTAAAGCTGATTATCAGTTTAATTACTAAAATTTATTATGACAACTCCATATGTAAACATATGGAGTTGTCATAATAAATTTTAGTGTCGTAATGATTTTATCGCAACAATTAATAATTATAAAGACGTGATTAATGAGATGATAGAATGGCGCCATCCACATCTTTATGCGTACTCCAAA